TGGGATAAAAATAAAACAGCCCGGAAGGAGACATTGGAGCATCTATCCCTGAGGATATCTGGAAAAGCATTATTTCGCAAATACATAACTCATCGTTCTGTATCAGACATGGATTAATCCAATTTAAAGTAGTAAACTGGTTACATTACTCCAATGACAGATCGGCTAAACTATATGCCATTGTTGCCCCAACCTGCCCCAGGTGCCACTATTCCTCGGTTTCTTTGGGGCATATGTTCTGGTCATGTCCTTGACTATACAACTTCTGGGCATTTGTCTTTAAATCACTCAGGGATATCTGGCAGGACATTGTCTCCAAATCCTTTAACGGCCATTTTTGGAGTAGTCATGAATGAAGGAGAGATTTCCCGCACTCATAGAAATGCGATCCCCTATGCGTCACTACTTGCCCGCTGTTTGATACTGCTAAATTGGAAAGAAAGTAGTCCTCCTGCCTATATTCATTGGATGAGGGAGATGTTGTTAGGACTGGATCTTGAAAAACTTAGATATATGACGCGTGGGCAAGAGGATAAATATGATAAAACCTGGGCATCATTCATCACCCATGTTGGAGGTTTATCTATAGCTTGATCCATTGTGACACTCCCCTGACAGGTGATGTGTGTGATTATGGATGTGACGTTGAAACTGTACTTGCCATTTTCAAGGGTCTAGACTGTTGATAATGTTAGTAACATTATTTGAATAGGCTTGTTTGGGTCACTTATGCAATCTTACATTTCACTTATTTATGTTCTTATCTTTTCTATTTTATTTGTTTATTTATTTTTATTTATTCTTGTTTTGTTTTTTTCTTTTCATTTTGTAAACTTGCATGTACTGTATTATCCATTGCAGAGGTAAATGATTCTTATACATGTATCTGTATGGGTATATGTGTACCTTAATATATGCATATTCATATGTATACATAAGTAGCCTACTTTATGCACATCTACTTTGATTGTGTACTTGTTTTTTGTACGTCAATGTGTGGACGCTGCCTGGAAGTGGGTGGGTGGGGGGAGGGGGGTCAGGGATTTACACTTTTATTATGTCATGAATGTTCTTCCACTTACATATTATATGCAAAACTCATAAATAAAGTTGTAAAAAAAAAAACAAAAACTAATGGAATGCTCAAAGTTGTCATTGTAACATTTAAGGTGTGTCGATGGATTCAGGACGTCAACTCATGCATTGAGTAACATTACAAGTAAACGTTCCACCCTAAGAGTTGCAGGCAGTGGGCCCAATGAATTAAGTCATTTTCTTCTCAGTCTACAGCTGCTGCGTGAGGCAGGAAAACATCCTTTAATTTTATAGTTATAGTTTACTAATATATGTAAGACTTGCCACGGTATGAACAGTGGTTACATGAGCCTCAAAACCAGCCACAACTCAGCGCTGAGCAAGAGTGACCATCCTCTATTGACCAATTAACGGACTGCAGTGTTTTCAGCTCCACCTTTTAGTACCAGATCTGACTGCCCTCTTCTGTTCCTTGTCAACCACCACTGTGTCTCAAAAATTACTCGAGTTGACGGCAGCTACACTCGTTACTGTAAGTGCAATTAAACCTCAGTGAGTAAGAAGCCAATACAGTACTTTATCAATACATGTGTTCAGCAAGCATAAACATGCACACATGTAGCCAGTGATATTCAGTATGTTCCGTCCGCAGTCTCTCATCCACCAACACCAACATTATGTTTTACACAAGGACAACACGCTTGTTTGCTACTTCAGTAGCACTTGTGCATTGCGAATGCCTTCAGTCTGATGTGAATTCAGGGTTACACATTTAATATAATGTTTAGTATAATATAGCATTAACTTGAAGGTTACCTTTATGTCAGTGTATTAATATCAGTGTTTTCCAGTTTAGTGCTCTTAAATTTAGATGATTTCTTTTGATGTTAGTGGAAGCGATCTTTATTTAAGGGGTGTTGGTCCTTATCTGTTATAAAATGCTGATAAAACGTTTGGTTTTAATATTACACGTCTCTATTTTGGGAAAATTCTATGAAAGACAATTTTTTATCACTTATTTTTTTATTGCAATATCAACAAATAAACAAACAACCGATTGCTGATTACACGTGATTGTTGAACCTAGCGAGTAATGGTAAATTTTAGTCAATCGTTTCCCTACAGAATGAAAGTGACATCGCAGAGATGATTTGCACCACACACTTTTAAATTTTAAGAATTTTTCTGCTGCTCCAAACACTGGTGTATGAGTTAAATTGGACCATAATATAAACCACATTTTTAGTATATATACTTGTAAGGAGAGGGTCCGTTAACCCCACAAAATATAATTTGGTTTGAGATGTGTTTCCTGAAATATCGCAATGTCTATCTTTTTTCTGCATCAGAAATCTAAAATCTTGTATGGAGAGTTGAGCCCTCTGACATTAAATACTACCATTTCAGTTATCTCTCCAACCCACAAATTCAGCATCCTCTAAAACTCTTAAATCAACTCAAAATTCATCAAAATCAGCCCACTGGGAGATGAAATGTAGCCACTTCTGGTTTAACCTGCCACTTTGAATTTTGAAAAATTAAGAAATTGATTTGGCATCCTCAGTAACCTCCAAAGTTGACCAAACAATTGCTGAAATATTGTCTATATGTAATTGTGCTAATAAATGCTAACTCTGCTAATGTGCAAATTGTCCAACGTATGCAAGTTAGCATCCAGCAGTTTCTAAATGCTTGAGACCCACAATGTATATTTCTAATATAAAACCCAGGGGTACTCAATATTTGTGGGTTCACATTTTCTCTTTGAGTTATAGTGAAGTATTTAGGTCAAAGCAAGTGGAATTTTTTAAAATAGAAAGGTCATCTTGGGCTCAAATTAAAGTTTATGAACTTGGGAAGTTTGACTTTGAGGCAGTGATTTTCACCATAAAATGCTGAAAAATAACTATCTTTGAAGAGAATTTCTCAAGTGAACAGTTTTTTTGTCAATTGCCATTCAGTTGACTTTAGAACTGAATGGCAGTAAGCCCTAGAATCTTACTTTCCTGCTCCCCTCTTTGTTTCAGGACACTTCCTGACAGATTTTATACTTTTATTAACTGTTTATGTAATTGTAGTACCTTAATATTTGCATTTCCAACATTTCACCAGAAAATTGTCTCAAAAAGGGGTTTAGGGCCCCCTGAGACCACATAGCCCTGAGATGGGGGCTCATTATCAATTTGCAATGGCCCAAGGTATAGGTTAACAGGAAATAATAGATAAAAAAAAGATAGAAGAAAATACGAAGGCTGGTTTTGACTCTTAGCCTAATATGGTAAAGAGGCAGCTCACACCCTCATAACAGTCTAATACTGGGCAGTGTTGTGTCAGCTCATCAGTTGGTTAGGTACCTCTGAATATAGCGAGTTATGTTTTTACTTGCCCTCATTCAGTGAAACGAGTGGCATATACAGTATGTGTTTGTGTGCAAAGGATTGCAGCTGTTGCCATAATCAGTAGCGGTTTTAGGGGGGCCAGCAGGGGCCATTGCCCCCGTAACTTGGAATGCGGCCCCCCTGTGGCCCCCCTGCCACCGGAGAGAGTCAGAGGGGCAACGAGGAACACAGAACTAAATCGTCTCAACAGGTTGCCAGTCGGACCACTTAAAGCGGCGCACCCACCGAAAACATTAGTAGAGAATTGTGTGGCTGTATTTAAGACAACTCTGTGCCTGCATGGCAACACACAGCACCATTGAAGTAAGATCTGAAAACTTTTTCTTTCTCATTTGGCTCATGGTAGTTACATGTCACATCATGTTGATGTAGCCATGTGAAATACAATCCGGAGTTTTCATGGGTGTTTTATTTATTGTGAAAATTGTCTTTTCTGCACCTGACTTCCTGTTTATTTTTTGTACGTCAATGTGTGGACACCGCCTGGAAGTGGGTGGGTGGGGGAGGGGGGGGGTCAGGGATTTACACTTTTATTATGTCATGAATGTTCTTCCACTTACATGTTATATGCAAAACTCATAAATAAAGTTGTAAAAGTTGGTCTGTGCAAATTGACGTGCTGTCGCGCGGCATCCATCAGAAATAGACCCGGCACATGTTTTTAGTGTAGCGGAGCGCCGAGCTGCTTCTAGGCTGCGGCTGGTGGAGCAGCTTACATTGACTTGAATGGCCGCTATTAGCTCCGGCACCCGCGCCTTGGCCGGATCGTGCACGCCACAGATCCAGTGGGTTGCCATAAATGGGCCTGTTCCAGAGGCATTCAACTACCAGAGGGCTTTTGAAATCTTCTTTTCGAAGCCACGTAAAATTAAATGCTCTGATTCAGGGTGCCATACTTGTGAATCGTGAGGGAGGGAAGGAGGGAAGCAGTAATTTGTGTCTGTTTGTATGTAATTAATTTAAGTCTTACCTTTTGTTTTCTTTTCGTATTGCGTATTTTGTATTGTTTTGCATATCTGGAACTGTGTTTGTGAGTGTGAGAGTTTTAAAAGAATATTTTGTCTGCACATGATTTGAAATAATAAAATAGCCCTCCAGAGGCAGATCAGTACGTTAGTTATTTTTCTTTTGGTTACTGAAATATTTAACCACTAATCCTTAGCTGTATTTTAAGTGTAACCCTTCACCATAACATACCACTAGTGTTTTTATCAGTAAAAACAGAACATTTTTCACACATAAAAAGCACAAAGATGTTGAAATCTAGGCATATTCTGCCATCATAACTTGGCTCTCAGAATTCACCAGATTGATGCCTTTAAATCAAATATATACAAAATTCTCTCCCGGGCAAGCACACGGACCCTCTTAGACACATATATATCTTATTGTTCAGACTTAGATATTTGACCCTACTTGTATGTGCCCCTGTATCAAAAGAACTGGCCCTAGCTTGGCCCCCCATTGAAACTGGCCTAGAACCGCCACTGGCCATAATGTAAGCAGCTTTTGGTGAAATTCCACCAACAATTATGATTGCCTTCTCCTGCACTGCATTCCACTCACCTGTGAAGGTGTCATGGTCTCTGTCCAGTGTGGTAAACTGCTTGCCATTGTGCCAGGTAAGTGAGTCTCCAGCGTTGCCATAGTATCGGCCCATTTGCAGCCTATAGAAGTTGGCCTCAGACTCCACACGGAAGTTGGTATATTCTGCAAAGGTCTTGCGTCCGACCCAGTCTTCCAGAGTCACCAGCAGCTTGTAGTTGCCCTGGTTGGTCAGCAAGTAGATGTTCTCTAGGCCTAACCAGTGTTCACCATCAATGTTTCCAAACCCTTGCTGTACAAGGAGAAAGACATTGAATTAGTCATTAGTCGGGATGAATCCATTCCTGCTGTTGCCAACACATACTTTAACAGGATATACCACAGCAATTCCCTTATTTTAAAACGTAAGTTTTTCCTCCCTTTGGATACAGACATGGCCTTCCAGCAACAAACCACTCATGTTTTCCGAACATCTGTGAAGGACTGGTATGACATCAGAGTGAAAGGCCAGGAGCAGTGGCATAATGGCAGGACATGTTTAAGATCCTCTCTTCCAGATCTCAGTGTGTTTGAATAACGGGCTTTAAATACATCACACATAGTTTTAATCAGGTGGGAGTCCTTGCCCCTGCCAAAAGCTGCCGTACTGATTCATCGATGGTGGTTTGGGGAATGATTGGGTTTGAGGATCTTAGAACGACTCCTCTGTGCTGTGGTCTTGAGTTTAAAGTACTGAGAAGAGTACCCATATTGGGATGTCCATACTTTTGGCCACAGGCTGTTAACCTTTGGCAACTAAATGTTTTAACCTGTACACCAGCAGGGTTGTAGAGTGTAGCATATATGTTCCACATGTAATGGCAAAATCAGCTTGTGCAATGAAAGAGGTTAATGACTTAGCACCCATTCTGTCTAGCTTTGTGCTTTGTGTGTATGAGACAGAGCTGCTTGTTTGTTTAAGGTGAGCCTTTGTGTGCTTTCCTGTGTGCGCGGTGAATTGATCGCACCATTCAACTTGGTATACTTGGTTGTAGTCTACTGTGCAGTGGTGAGATAGAGCCTGGATGTAGGCTACAGGTTTGTTTATAAAATTGCAGCAATGCTTTGACCATACATATATCAGACCAGTGTCCGAAATTAACTTTTTTTTACCTTCCAAAATAATTAATTGCCCTTTCATGTCACATGTATATTTGTTTCAGTACGTTTCATTGAGATAATGAAGTATTATGTTAAATAGAAACCTAAAGTAGAGGCTGGAGCAAAATGTGAAGCAAAATTATTTCAATATACCAGTGGTTCCCAATCTTTTTTCTTAATGGACCCCTTTTCTATCATTGAGAAACTAATGTCCCCTGACTAAGTGACATATTTTATGGACATTTCATATTATGTTTAGTGCATAACATTTACAGTACAGACTGCAATAATTACAGGAAGTTTGAGTAAAATGAGCAATTTGGATTCATTTTGAGCAGATTATTTCCTGTATATTTTCCATCAGAGATGAGTTTTCCTGATATTTTTAGTAACTTCTGGGACAATTCTGTATGTCTAATGTATTTATTTATTTGTTTATCATTTTTAAAAACCATACATACTTAATAGGCTTCTTTTTGACAAATTCAGTGTTTTCCTCTTCCTGACTCTTGGCCCTTCTTATATTAGTTCTGTGGTTGTTTTAACTGCGTACTTTTCTAACGCAGGACGAGGCTGTTTCACAGAGAGTGAAGTAATTTTTTTTAGGGTTATTGATCAGAACTTTAAAAACAAAACATAGTTTTCTTTTCAGAAATGAATGAAATACAACGTTAAAAGTCAACTAAAAAAAAGTTTGTACACCCCTAAAAATCACGAAGGCCTTCTGACCCCCAGTGAAGCTTTGTTGCCTCCTTGTTAAGATAAGATAAGATGAGATACACCTTTATTGATCCCATAATTGAGAAATTCCAGTGTTACAGCAGTCAAGGGGAAAGAGTCAGATTAAAGATTTCAAAAATTAAACTTAAAAACTTAAAACTTAAAAAAACTAGGGATGCAAAATAAGTACAAAAGTCTCTTCCTATCTGCAGCCAAGACGCTGCTGCCCCAGCAGACCACTCCGTAAAAGATGGCCGATGCCACCACAGTGTCAAAGAAGGTCTTCAGGAGCGCCCCCTGCACTCCAAAAGACCAAAAGAGCCGCCTCAGGAGTTAAGTCTGCTTTGGCCTTTCCTGTATAGTGCTGTTATGTGATTAGTCCAGTCCAGTTTATTGTTAAGCTGAACACCCAGGTACTTATAAGATGTCACCATCTCAATGTCCTTTCCCTGGATGTTCACCGGCGCTGGGAGGAGGAGTCTGCGCCTGTGGAAATCCACCACCAGCTCTTTGGTTTTCCCCGCGTTGATCTGAAGGTGGTGCCTCAGACACCAGTCCACAAAGTCCTGGTTCAGTTCTCTGTTCTCCCTGTCGTCCCCATCTGTGATGAGGCCGACTATGGCAGAGTCGTCAGAGAACTTCTGCAGATGACAGGTGGAGGTGTAGTATGAAAAGTCTGCAGTGTAGAGGGTGAAGAGGAACGGTGCCAGCACAGTCCCCTGCGGGACCCCAGTACTGCAGACAACCAAGTCCGATACACAATCCTGGGTCCTGACATACTGTGGCCGGTCCGTGAGGTAGTCCAGGATCCAGGATGTGAGGTGATTAGCGCCCCCTATGTGCTCCAGTTTGTCCCTCAGAAGCGCAGGCTGTATGGTGTTGAAAGCGCTGGAGAAGTCAAAGAACATGATTCTCACAGAGCTTCCGGGCTTCTCCAGGTGAGAAAGAGCTCTATGCAGGAGGAAGATGACGGCGTCGTCCACCCCAATGTCAGGCTGGTAGGCAAACTGCAGCGGGTCCATTGAAGGGCCTACTGCTGGGCAGAGACGAGACAGGACCAGGCGTCTGAAGCTGCTGAAGTCCTTGGGGTGCGGAGTCTTGGGCACAGGTACCAAGCAGGATGTCTTCCACAGCTGTGGTACTCTCCCCAGCCTCACGCTCAGGTTGAAGATGGTTTCAACTATCCCGCACAGTTGGTCTGCACAGGACTTCAGGAGTCTGGAGCTGATGCCGTCTGGACCCGCAGCCTTCCTCGTCTTAATCCTCCTCAGCTGATCTCTCACCTGACAGGTAGTGAGGGACAAGCTGGAGCAGGGGGGCTGTGTGCTGGGGGGTGGAGGTGATGAGGTGGGTGGAGGGGTGGGGGGTGGTGAGATGTCCGGGGGAGCGGGGGTGGGGGAGGTATCGAAGCAGTGTGCCAGGAGTGTAGGTGAGGGGGAAGGTGAAGGTGAGGATGAGGGGGGTTGCAGCCGTGATGTCTGGGCCAGGGGAGGGGCAGACTGATCAAATCTATTGAAGAACAGATTCAGATCATTCTGCTTGTTGTTTGTGTCCTGAGATGGTTTTCAAACCTCTCCAGACTCCGCTGACGTCGCTCTGCTGCAGCTGTTCCTCCATCTTCTTTTTATATCCTTCCTTTCCCCGCCTGATGTTTCTCCGTAGCTCCTTCTACATGGCCTTCAGCTCCTCCTTATTTCCAGAGTTAAAAGCTCTCTGCTTCTCCTTCAGGAGAGCTTTTATATCTGGAGTAATCCAGGGTTTGGTGTTGGAGAAGCAGCGTACAGTCCTGGTGGGTACGGTGCTTTCCACACAGAAGTTAATATAATCCGTAATGCATGATGTCATACTGTTAATGTTCTCCCCATGGGAATCACTGAGTACCTCCCACACAGTGGCCTCGAAGCAGTCTTTCAGGGCCTCCTCGGCCTCATCAGACCACCTCTTCACAGTGCGGGTGGTTGCTGGTTCCCTCTGCACCAGAGGTCTGTAGACAGGCAGAAGATGAACCAGGTTATGATCAGCTCTTCCCAGGGGGGGCAGGGGGGATGAGTGGTATGCCTCCTTGGTGTTGGCATGAAATAAATCCAGTGTTTTATTGTCTCTGGTGTGGCAGGAAACATACTGGGTGAAGGTGGGCAGGGTGGTGGATGGATAGGCATGGTTGAAGTCCCCAGAGATCAGAAGGAGGGCCTGAGGGTGCTATGTTTGCAGCCTACTTGTAACAGAGTGGAGAATGTCACAAGCAGACTCAGCCTTCGCGGACGGGGGGACATACACTGCTACCATAATGACATGAGAAAACTCCCTGGGTAGATAGTATGGTCTCATGCCAACAGCCAGCAGCTCAATGCCCCTGCAGCAATGCTGTTCCTTGATAGTGATGTGCCCAGAGTTACACCATCTATCATTCACAAACACAGCCAGCCCACCTCCTTTCCTCTTACCGCTGTCCACTGTCTTGTCGTATCTGATGAGCTGGAATCCGTCCAGCGCGGCGATCATGTCCGGTACTTCCGCGTTCAACCATGTCTCAGTAAACACCAGCACGCTGCTCTGCCGGTACTCCCTCTGATGGCGAGTCAGCGCCGACAGCTCGTCCATCTTGTTGGGGAGCGATCTTACATTCCCCATAACGACGGACGGGAGGACGGGTTTGTACCATCTCCTCCGTTGTCGGCGCTGCACTCCGGCGTGACATCCCCATCTCCTTCTCCGCAGCTCGCTGGGAATATCGTGCCTCTCCTCGGGCCGCACCGCGGTGTGTTGTAGCACTAACAGCTGGTCCCAGGTGTAAACAATGGAGCCACAACTGGGCGCCAAGTCCCCGCACATGATAGTCCGTGGAAAAATAGACCGCTATAAAGAGAGCAGTCTTCGTCTCCATAACAAAACAGAACATAAGTGCTAGCTAGCTAACTGAAAAAAACCTCCAAATAAGAAAGTTAAATGTAAAAGAAATTGAAAGAAGCTCAGCGGTGAGCACGAGCCACCATAACAGGCGTCCGCACTGGGGGTGCCATCTTGTATTGAGAATGGTCCCGAGACCCCCAGGTTGGAAACCAATTATTAAACAACTCATCACCACAGCTTCAGCATGTGAATAAGTTCCCTCTGGTTATCACTGATGCAGTGTGTATGGGCTTTTACTGTGACAGGTAAGAATGGAAAGATTGAAGCTGTAATGCACCACTGGTCACAATGTGGGAGACAATGAAGAGTTTGCCGTCCTGTTGTAGACTATGGAGCCTCCGTGCTATTATTTTATTACCTTCATAAGTATGGGGACAACTCATAACCATCTGTTCTACATTAGCATTGCGATAGCTGCAGTGGGCCGATGGCAAGTGATAGTTTAGCAGATCAGCTGATGTCCTATGCTGCAAACAGTGCAGCAAAACTAGGAGTGCCTGAGACGATCAGATAGCAGCGTTT